AACCCTTTGAACTTACCCGACCGACTGGCGACCTATGAAGGGCTGTTTACAGTCAAAACGACTTAAATAATATGGTTAACTCTGTACGTCTCTGTTAATCGGAGTACCACGGACAATAGGCCAAGTGACTGAGAACCGTCTGCGGATGCATTTCCCACGTTCTTCATGGTGCCTAATACCACTGTTTCTACAAGTCGTGGTTTGCCTGGCACCGCATACTGAGCACTGCAATGGTCCACATAGTTTATTTCCACGTGGGACTCAATGTCTTCGTGCTGTGCTGTGTCGTGTGCAGTGTGCAGTGTTTTCTCCCTCGCCATGGGCTGAACTGGGCGTGCCTCTTCCCCCTTTCGTTGGTTGGGAAAGAGGCAGCTTTTCACCTTCCCCTTTCGAGGGCGGAGGTTGAAATGGCAAAATTTGTTGGACTGTCCTGGCCTGCATTGTTTTTTCTTGCAGGTAATCCTTGGAAGGCCACGACATAAAATGCGAGCGCCCAGGTGATCCCACATGCTCTCACAAACTCCTAGAAGCTCACAGAAGCTCGAGGGCCTCCATGATGTAGTCATGTAGCACCATCATGTAGCAACACGCTACCTGTAAACACGCTACCTGTAGTCATGTAACGCCATCATGTAGCAATACGCTACCTGTAAATAATGTAAATAGAAGTTACTGTTAGCAGCTCTTGGCTCCTCTCCTCGACATCTCCCCGAGACTCTGGTTGGCTCCGGTCTTCAGGGCAGACCCCCGAACACATCAGGACTTAAGCCTCAATGGTTTTATTTAATCCCGTGATCTCTGTGTGTCAGTAGTCAAGAACAGTAACCACTGGACCATCGTGACGGGTACAAACAACAAGTAGTGTGCAAAGTGGACGAATTAATGATGAAATAAGGGAAAAGACTAAGTGTTCTCTCATTCTATTTCCCACTTTGTGCTGCAGCTTACATGACTATTACCTTCAATCAGGGTCGCGGGCAGAAATTTTCAGATGGGTGTAGGCAGGGCTCCACCTAATTTTGTAGTAGGGGCTGGGCACACAGATGTGGTCAAAAGTCAATTCATGCTTTGTATGCCATATAAAAATATTTGTGGGTGGAGGTTACGGGCTTGGTGTGTCCCACATATGTCTCCAATACCACGGCTAATTCTTAAATACCCTGTACCTGGAGCCTTCGGATCCATTTTAACCCAATGGAGTTCATTAACGTGTCCGTAATTGATTGGAATAATAAATTGCGACAAAAACACTGCATCAATATCACGCAGGCCTTTTGTTGGTGACAGCTGTGTGTTAGTCAGTCTGCTGTGTTTTTCTGGGTAGCTCATTCTTTTGGAAAGCGCTCTAACTTGTTCGTAATGAAACAAGTAACAGTAAGCAAAACATATATCACGCATGCACGTCATGCTATAATTCTTCTCATACTTATATAGAACCAATGTGGAGAAAGGTAATACAGTCGGAACAGTGGCGCGAAAATTCACGCAAGCAACCACAGAACAAGACGGGACACAATGGTGTCTCCTGTCTTGCTCTGTTGTTGTCTGTGGGATTCCTCGCGCTTCTGTTTTAGGTTCTGCATTACCAACCAGCCCATAAAGTGTTTTTGAACATAATAATGATTAGAAGCAGTAATGATTCCGAATAATAATTAGGGAAGCATCCATCTTTCATTCAGCCTTCAATGACAGCGTGATAGAACGGACAAAAATCGCGATAAAAAATAGCGTGCCCCACATGTGTATCGAAATGTATCGGAATAAAAGAAAGTCACAGCTTTTCCACAATGGCGGAGCAATGAACGTGATAGTAACGAATTGGAAGGTCAAGCGAAGAATGGCAAACAGATCGAAACGTGCCCCGAACTTTTCACCCACAAAGGACGCACGTACTCACAGGTAGAGATGAACGCGAATAAGCGTATAAGAGTCTCAGTTTTCCTTCGCTGAGTCCAAAAAGCGCACCCTATTTGCGAACAGAGACTGTGCAACAATTACAGTGACCTTTGTGCATCTGGTAACTACAACAGAGTTGTTTCGGTGAAAGCCCAAGGCCAGTCAAGGCGTACGATTGTCCCGACCACGAGATAAGCAAGTGCATGCGTGAGCGTCCAAGCTGCCCCCTTTTCACGGGGCAAAGTACGCTTGGGAGATAAGAGCACGCGCCGCCACGTCGCGAGGATGTGGCGACGCGCGATCATTGCGTTATCTTGCTGGTAATATTGCAAACACGATAGTTAACCCCGAGATTACCATCACCGGTAACTGGTAAATATAAATAGCTTGCTGTTTGAACGCTCAAGGAGGTGCTCCTTTCTGGCGCAGTGGGTAACACCTGCACTCACATTTCAGAAATCCGACGTTCGATTCTCTGCACCAGAACCTTTTTCTGGGTCATTTTATTGCTTGTTTATATATATATATATATATATATATATATATATATATATATATATATATATATATATATATATTGTAACGACGAGAAATAAGAGACAACGCCTTTGCTGCAGGCCGGCTGTTCTTATTCTGCTTCGTCTTCCTCCGCTTCCGTAACCCTCCTGCGCCCTTGCCTGAGCCCCACTATTTAATATCATTACACTCGGCCCCGACTGCGAGCCTCGTGGGCTACCGACAATGTCTCCGGTGGGCGGCATTGACTATTCCGGGGTGGCCGGGCTCGGCCAAGCTGATATTTCACATGGAAGTTTGTTGAAGGAGATTCCGGAGGACGACACTGGCTGTGACGTGATGGTCGGTGCAGGCGTCGTCCACGATGGGGCCAACGCTGTTGACTTGGACAAGATGCCGCTAGCAGGAGATACAGACTCCTGCAAAGTGGCCGCGTTGGTTTAATCTCGTCGGTTTGAGCATCCTGTCGCAGTCGTGTTACAAATGCTGGAAATAGTCCACGCTGCACCGTCACCTGCTGCACTGAGCGTCGACGCCTGCGTTGCTTGCGGTGTGGCAAGGGGCGTCGGGGTGTCTTTGTAGTCATCTGAGAGCCGAGTTCAGGTTGCAGCTTGAGAGGCAACGCGTGCTCTTGCAGCACTGCCTTTGTCGGACTCATGCTCAAGCTGCTTATTCCTATAGTTTCACGTGCAGTAGAGCCTTCATTGTCAGATGACCTGTCACTAACCGGAAGTATTACCTTCTCTGGTAGGTCTTTGCTGACAGTGACTTTGAAGGAAGCGGCGCTTAGCGTGTGGCAGACGTCCGCACACTCGGCCACAGACTGACGTGATATCAGGAGATGTCGCTTCGAAGTGAGGGTCAGCACTGTAGGGTTGTTCGTCCCAGGGTAGGTGGTTAAATTGGCTGTCGGGAAGCTGCAAAATACAGCTGAAGCCGCGAGGGTGGTCTCCTTCTGGGATCTATTCTCGGTAGCGGTCGCGTAAGACTGGGTGGTCGTGGAGAGGTGATGGTGACTCCGTCCAAAAGCAGCTATGAGCTTGTCACTCCAGTCCACCCAGGACGTCTGCCGCACGCCTTCGTATCGATGCCAAGCCGCGGCAGCATTCCGAAGGCGGTCTATGGCCATGCCCCACTTCTTTTGGTCCGTCCACGCTGCGTGATCTCCGACAGCGTTGACGGTTGCCACCCATTCCTTGGCATCGTCCTGGAAGCCGCGAAACTCCGGTAGCTCGAAGGAAATCGGCGATGGCGGGACTGCGGGCAAAACTCCGAAATGTGCCCACGCCAAGCAGTTCACTTGCTCTGATACCTCCGTGAGAGAACGTCCGAGATTGCGACGGTTCTCGGGCGAGCTTACCTCGAAGTTTTGTGAGGCGGCCGCAGCCAACATGGCATTGAGTGCGCACAATGTTGGCAAGATGGCAGGACGTAGCTGGGAGCTCGACGCTATGAGGGCGTTGGTCGTGACGCGGAGTTGCGCGATGGTATGCTGCAGCTCCGCTGCGCTGTCGTGCGATCCGCACGAAGAGCCAAGGCCCGCCTCTGCGGAGGATACAGTGACTGCGGTACTCGAGGTGGTACAATTGCTGACCAAGGACGCGTGGACGGCGTCCCTTGGAAATCCAGCTGTGGTAGGAATCGTGGACATGGGTTCCAGGGCGCTGGAAGCGTCAACGACGTTCCCAGGCAAGCGGAACCCATGTGATGAGTTGTGACCTGGTACTGTGGCGTAGATGAAGCGGTCTTGCGCCGCCGGGTAGGCCTCGACGCCGTACACGGTGGGTGCTTGAAGCGCCGACAGGTTGCCAGGTATGGAGGAGGCATGTACGCCATCCCTAGGTGAGAGAGGCCCGTGCGCATGGTTGCCGCGACGTGTCGCGTCCCAGGACAAGTTTCCCGGAACCACAACGGAGGCCTGGACGCCATCCGTCGGTACTGGGATCGATGCTGGCCGCGACGGACGCCTTGCGGGTTCCATCAGCGAAGAAGCGTGACGGCGTTCCTTATGGTGAACTGGTACCGGTAACGGGTGCTGGAGCCGCCGAGGAGGCCTTGACGCCGTCCCCGAACGGTGGTGTCAGTAAACAGCTGCCGAGGAGGGCTTGACGCCGTCCTCAAGCGACGCTTACCGCGGCTGCACGTCGGCGGGCGTTGTGGATGACGAAACCGAGACGTAAGCCGTTTTCTTCGTCGACTGCGCCATTGTAACGACGAGAAATAAGAGACAACGCCTTTGCTGCAGGCCGGCTGTTCTTATTCTGCTTCGTCTTCCTCCGCTTCCGTAACCCTCCTGCGCCCTTGCCTGAGCCCCACTATTTAATATCATTACAATATATATATAGATATAGATAGATAGATAGATAGATAGATAGATAGATAGATAGATAGATAGATAGATAGATAGATAGATAGATACGTATACATAACATATACGGTCAGTGACGGCGATCCAGCCGAGTGTGTCGATATAATTGCTATGGCAATAAACAGAACTTCGAGCTATTGTGTTAAAAGGACACTGCTGCAGTGTCCCATTTCCAACAAGTGTGTTTTTATGTAAGGTTGTCCTTCAATGGAACGCGCAGAGTGTATTGAGCAGGCGGACTCGGACTCGCCAGTCACGGTAAGCTTGGTGCAGTTGTTGACATGGTATGTAAGCGAACTAGACGTCTGGGGGTTGACATGCGCGATACAAAAATTTGTTCATGAATTCAGACCTTCAAGTGGCACATACAGCAACAACAAGCTATCGCCTGAATGTACAAGCTTGTTGCCATTGGCTTGAGAATTTCGGTAATAAGCCAGGCATCAAGACCGGCTCTAGCCTGTTTTTAGAAACGCTCATATTGAGAAACTTTTCTCTTTCCCTTCTTTTTTCCCATTTTTTGAGAATATGGGCACTGCTCTGTACACTCGGCAAAATATTTAGCTATATCGTGCATGAGTGGTAGTTTTTTTATGTATCTGTTTTATGTGACTGAATTAGGTTTTAAAAACTGTGCGGCCATGTGCATGTCCATAAGGCACATGCACACAAAACAATTTTTTGCAACTTCGTTCAATCATACAATGCTGTAGACCAATGTGATCTGATTTGGGTGCACGTTAAAGAACCCCAGGTGGTCGAAATTTCCAGAGCCTTCCATTACAGCGTCTCTCATAATCATATAGTGATTTTGGGATGGTAAACCCTACTTATCAATCATCGTTATATGAAGCTGGCATACAAAAACGTGGCCGCTGCGCACTATAGCTAAAGCTTTCGCGAGTACTGTGACAGAGTTTGCCAGCTGAAAGCAAATTAACAATCAGGGTAGCACTTTGCACAGCGGACCACACTGAGTAAACTGATATATTCATACAAGTGGTTTACTTAGCCCGAACCAGCCGTTCGTTGCTCAGTTCAATGAGGGCATACGTTAATTTATACAAACAAAAAGAAATATGGTTATCACAGCCTGAAGGCTTGCAGAAAATTGTTCTTGCAGAAACCAGCCGACAAACAGAGGTGGCTGCTGCATGCGCAGATGTTTACGGCATATCGAGGTACATAAATCACTGTTCCGCGTACATAAAGAGCACAATCTTCTCAGTCATGACGGAACATACATTATACACTCAGACAGCTGACCAGTCCATCTATGTGGGGAAACCTCGTCCGAGGCTACCCACGTCCCATTTGTTTTGCTTTTCAGGGTGGCTGTGAGTTGGCTGTTATAAGCCGTGTGGGGTTTCATGCTTAATTTATCTTCCCCAGAGAGCCGCAACGGTAAGTAGTGTTTTTATTGATCGGAACCTGTAATATTTCTTAATTTCCTCATTCGTATTATTAAGCAAGATGCAACGGGTGTCTTGACGTCACCAAGGTAACATGAAATACCAGAATATCTAATAACAATGCACTGTGCAGTGTTAAGCATCGAACCTGGCACACCGTAATATTCTCTCGGTAGTCATTCTCCCTTTATCGCTTTATCAGTTCTAGGGTAAAGCCACCGCAGTCGTCCAGTGGATATGGTGGTCAGGTGCTGACGCGAAGATCGTGGTGGTGGGATTGAGTCTTGGTCACATCAACCATATTTTTCTTGAAACGAAATGTTAGAGGACCATGTGCTTACATTTAGGCGCATGGTAAAAAAAAATTGGCACCATATCCACGGAGTGAATGATGGAGAGTGGGGCGAAGCATTAGTCCGTCCATTCATTCTTGATTCCGTCTGTCCATGCGTCCGTCTCTGTGACCGTCCATGCGTCCATCCGCCCGTCTGTGCGTGCGGCTGTTCGTGAATCCGTCCATGCATTCGTCCATGCATCCGCCTCTGCGTCCGTTCATGCGTCCATCCATGCATCTGTCTGTTTGTCTGTTCGTCCATCTATTCAACACTCCAAGTACCCCCATCTCGCATCTTTTCATCATATATTCCTCATATAGAAGCACCGTCATCCAGCGGACATTCCAAGGACTATACGAGAGGTGGCACACGCACACTTTCTTACGGCTTGCGCTTCGGGTTTACATCCCACCTTTAACCACCTCGAGTTCATGGTATATACTAGTTCACTTTATTCATGGCACTGCGGCCCAACACTCACTAAACCTTTCTAAAACCAAGGAAGTTACGCCCAGAGAGTATAACGTAGCACCCTTTTCCTGTCAGACAGTGCTCAATGTACATGCCAATGGCTGCTAATGGGAAATGAGAGACAAAAGAATTCGGCTTTTACTTTCTTACGGCTTGCGCTTCGTATCTACTTCCCAGGTTTAACCACCTCGAGTTCATTCATGATATATACTAGTTCATTGTATTGATGGTATTGCGGCCCAACGCTCGCTAGTCCTTTCTAAAACTAAGGAGGTTACACCCAGCGAGTATAACGTAGCAACCCTTTCTTGTCAGATAGTGCTCAATGTACTTGCTAATGGCTCTTAATGAAGATCGCAGCGTGCGCGTTAACTAAAAGCCGAATGCTCCTGTCTCTCATGCCTCATTAGCAGCCATTGGCATGTACATTGAGCACTATTTTTTATTGTTCAACAACGCACAGAAGAAATTTCTTGCTGGCACCACCTTGGAGGTCAAAATGTTATACTTGTTACATAATACAACGGCTACGAGGGACGAATGGGTGTCGCTATAAAGAGCTTCGCCCCTACAAAACCCCATGTGATGGAAATTTATGGAGACCTTTACTACCGCGTCCCTCATAACCATATCGTCATTTTGGGATCGATAGCCTTAACAAATAGTGGGATATCATTTATTTTTTAGGGAGTGCGTTAGATCTGTTGTTCTTCCAAACTTATGAAGCCCGCAAGTGTTTTGCGCTTTTTTTTTGTTTTAAGGCTGGCGAGTGTCACTGTTTATTGTAAAGACGAATCCGCATGATTTTAGATAAACTCTTTCCGGTCTTGTTTCCCGACAATAATTGACTCTCTCTAAATCATCCTTTGTTCAGAGGAAAAAAAAAGCTTTTTTATGAAGAGGGCTTTTAACAAAGGGCCCGTTATCTACCATGGCCAGGCGCTCTATAAGGGCGCGTGCGCCCGCAAGACCACTCACAATTGATAATGATAGCATCTTGCGCAGAAAAGGAAGCCATCTGGCCTTGATATGGCACTTCCTGGCTGCTAATTGTTCTGTGGGAGGCACACACTCAAGGGCGGCGTATGCTTCCGCGCTATAATAAGTAAGACGCAGATAAGACCCCTTGCATACTAAGTCTTCACAGCGTTGTACATAGGTTATTACACGTATATTATGGCTCGCTACGCCAGACCGTCAAATTTATCTGTGAGCAACCCACAACGCAAATCAGAACGCTATTCGCAAGACCTAGTGCTACCATTGTTCGCAAAAGAAAACCGTTGCCAATACGGATTTAGCACATGTTATTGGCAAGATAGATCACGAAAACATGCATAAAAGAGAGAGTAACAACGTACCTCAAGGAAGGAAAGCCGAAAATTTTCGATAAAGATGTAGGCCTATGCAGTCGTAACAGCCTAGAGCGAATAAACCAATAAGTGGTCGACCATGACCAGCGGAAGTTTGCGCTTATTTAAAAGGATGCATATTTTTAAGTGCTTTCTCGCCGAAGAACGCCAGACTATTGCAGCACGGCGAAATGATGAAGAAAATGTATATAATACGAGTGTAATGGAAAGACGGCCCATCGCCACTGGTGCTGCGCGACAAACCAGATTTTCTCATATTTTTCCTCAATTATAAGAAGCACTAAAAGTGAGGTTTCTTGTGCCAGACTTTTCCAGGTCGTCCACTAGAAAATTGAAAGCACCTCTCATTGCAATGCCAGTAAGGAAGTAAGAGCACAGTTTATATTTCTTGTTGTTTTGCTTTCTTGAAAGCTGGTAGAAAAAGGGAGAAGGGGGACCTCTAGGCCCTGTTCTTTTTTGAAGTCGTTTTTATTGGCTTTTCTAGAGCAGTTTTTTAGACTCCCCTACCACGTGGACAGCTATGGAAGAAAAACATGTCAATAGAAGTGGAAAGGAAAACTTTCTCGCCGTGTATTGTGGTGCTCCTGCCAGCGTTGTTCTCTCTTTTATGACATTGCTAGTCATTGCGTTCTCTGAAAGATTTGAGCAAGTGACTTACGTAAATGCCCTTTTTTGAAAAAGAGACTGCAGATGTATTTTTTGTTTAATGTTAAAAAATACAGTGTCCTTTTCTCTGTTAACTGGCGAGCTGCGGAGAAGTTAAATATTACATCAACTCCACTACTCCTTTTCTATTAGGTCTTGAGCAAAAAAAAAAAAAAACCCACGACATGCGACATATTTGGACATATGCATGGGTTCATCGTAAGCATGGGTTTATCATAAGCACGACAGATTTGGACATAAGCAAGGGTTCATCTTTCCAGAGCGTATATTACTGGAGGTTCGGGGCGCTTTGCCTTCAAGGGCAACTCCGGCGCGTTTTTGACCCTGTCAGCATAGTGGTGCTTCCATGTTCTTTAGACACTTCTCTCACGAGCCCGATAACTGAAATGCTCAAAAAATTCGAAAATAATATTTATTACCAAAAAAACCACAATACCGAAAAGGAAACACAACTGAGTGCGTGAGACGTCATGATTTGCCTGACGTTGTCGAAACCTACCTGATTGCCCATATTTCTCGCCAAATGGCACTACCTGTCCGCGCAGACCGCAGCAATCGGCTGAAATGCTTTTGCTGTTAAGGTGAATATATGGCGATTTGTGTGTGGCTCACAACGCAACACCACTTGGCACCTAACGCACGCCCATCAACGTGGAAAAGAAAAGTGCACACCCTATCAAGGAAGTGCCGGCCAAACCCACACAATCCATAGCAGCAAGCAGACGCTGCAGTGGCACATCAATTTGTCACTTCCGCCAGGCAAAACTCAACGTCACACACACAATGTTTGAAATAACTCTGGCAAGCGAGGTGAGCGTTACAAGGCAAGCTATAAAATTCATTTATTAAGAATCATCGAAACTCTCAAACCTGTAATTTAGCATGAATGGCGCAAACGTGCAAATGAACGTATCAAGTGAATTTGATTGAGATCACCTGAGATCCACTGGTGGCAGGTCATAGTGATGACTTCTGAATTGATTTCGACTCCTTGAGGTTGGTCTATTCGGAGCACTTCTGGGGAATGGCTTATCATTTATCCATAGTCGTTCATCTTTGTATACCTTTCATGTGGCGTGATCACGAACGCAGGGAAGTCAGAAACCTCAAAACCACTTTAAACTGAACGAACAAGGTCTAAACTATTAGAGCTACCACAATTATTCAAAAAGTAATTCCAGTATTAAACTACGATAGCTAAAAGCGTTTCAGAAATTTATCGCGGACTCCGCTTGATCAGTGTGGTGTTGCCGTTATATCTGATGGAGGAAACAACTTCATCGAACTTGCTGCAGCTAAGCGAATTTCAACTGCCGCGAGAAGCATAAAGTGGATAAAGCGCTGCAAAAAGTAGGGTACATCTTGAACACAAAAATTGACGCCATCGACGCTTTCGTGAACAAAGCAGTGGGAACTCCACGAACTGGAACCACTGGGTGCTCGTGATGCCCTTGTTACGCACTTCACCAAATATGTTTCACTGTAGTGGAGCTGTGATACGTTTTTAATGGTCTCCTAATTATGCCTTCCACCTCCATCGAAAATGTCGCCTCCATTATCGGGGATCTAACACGTGTCCTCCAGCTTGGCAGGTACGGAAAGGCTCCGAATGAACTTTGTTTATAGGAGTCCGTATGGACACTTGTTTATTTATTTGCCTATATACAGCCTCCATTCGAGTAAGAGCGCCATGACCAAGAATTGAGACTGCGATTGTGAGCCAAAGACGCTGGGCCATCATAGCCGGGGATACGTGATTTTGAGCGAATGCGTAAATTAGGTTTTTGCATTTGTGCCATGACATGCAGGTGTTTGAACATGACATCTACGCGAGAGGCATCCGCGTTAGTTCAGGCCAGAGAGAGAGGTGACGTAACTCCATGGCGTGAAACAGCTGGCGTAACAAACGCCTCGCTTATTAACTGCGGGAACGAGAAGGAAGGACAGGGAGGTTAGCCAAATTAACTGTGGACACGTAAGTTTTGCCTACAGGTTGTACTGTGCAGCTTTTGACAGGTACGCAAGCGTGCGCACGCTTATTACACCTCTTCCACCCTTCCCTTCGTAAATCATGTGTTCAAATTGACTTGCAGGCACGGGAGGCCTGTGCGATTCTCGGACTAAAGACGTATGGCCTGAGTTCTTGCTCAGATACGACGAAGCGCAATCAGAGGAAACTTATTTTTCGCACGTGTTTATCATTTTTGGTACCAAATGAGATGAAGTCTGTGGCTCACAATCGAAAAAATAATGAAGAAGTTGATGGTAATAATAATTCTTGGGGTTTAACATCCCGAAATCACTATATGTATATGCGAGACGCCGTAGTGGAAGGCTCCGGAAACTGAAACCACCTGAGGTTCTTTAACGTGCACCTATATATAGGTACACCAGCCTCACACATTTTCACCTCCATCGGAAATCTGGCCGCCGCGTCCGGAATTCGATCCCGCCGCGGTGGCCGCATCACACTGCCGAAAACTGAAATTTCCGTGCTGGTAAACATAAGTTTGATTACGTAAAGTAGGCTTCATTCGTTCATTATTCGCTGTCTCTGAAAAAAAATTGTAATTATTGCATCCCACCAACATTAACATGTCGTCCAGAAACTTCCTGCATAATGAGCATGCCTGAAAATACGCCATATTTATCGCCCAGCATATAACGAAGAACTCTTAGCTGTAACGTTAAAGGACTGCAAGGCAATGACGTAGCCGGAGATGAACTGTGATGTCCAAAATTTTAGTTGATATCATGTAGAAGAAATGGGGTTTGTCTGAATATTATTGTGTAAAAAAAAATACACTCTAAATACTGTGGAGGATATCGCAGGAGTAAAAAGGCCAAGTTACTCTTCATAGTGTTATTCTACACTCGCAAATAATCAGGTAGAGTGAAATTCATTTTCACTCGGTATGAAACGAGAGAGTGAAACAGCTTTCTACTTTTCCGCTCTTTCAGAGAGTGAAATGCCCATATACTGTTCAGGCATGAGAGAGTAAAACTCAAGTATACTTCAGCTCTTGATGACTTTTAAATGTGTTGGAACACTGCGAGTGATTAGCACTACCTCATGACCACACATATGTGAAGTAACACGCGCTGCATTCGTTGATCGAGGCGTTAGAGAGGAATAACAAAAGAGCAGCGTTTCCCGCGCGCGCCAGAGAATTTCGGGGCACTGGCAGGCACTTGGAACTCTTAATATACACGTTTTTAGCTTTGAATCTGTGTAGTGAAATAAGCGAATACTATCTCATTCAATTGGTCACAATCGAAACTCAACGCAAACGGCTCTGACATTCTCCTATATTATCAATAATGTTTTTCGCTACGACCATCACACATGGGCGATGGTTCCGTAAGCTTAACGTACAGTACGGCTACAGTGAAGTATTGTGGCTTTAGTCGTAAAACATGTCCCCACTTTGATGGTCTAGTGTCTAAGGTACTCGGCTGCTGACCCGCAGGTCGCGGGATTGAATCCCAGCTGCGGCGGATACATTTTTGATGGAGGCGGGAATGTTGTAGGCCCGTGTGCTCAGATTTGGGTGCACGTTAAAGAACCCCATGGGATCGAAATTTCTGGAGTCGTCCACTATGGCGTCTCTCATAATCATAGCGTGGGTTTGGGACGTTAAACCCCACAAATCAATCAGTCGTAGAACATGAACACGAATGATCGAAAATATGTCCAAGGGGGTGAACACAAAACTAAATTGTTCAGTGTATACTTCAGAAGCGTCACGAACGCTACTTATGACATAAAGAAATATACGCTCATAAGCTGTCAGTTCGGTGTAGTGCAAAAAACTCAGGAGTTTGTATCTGAGTGGTTGTCGAGGGTGGATCCCTTGGCAGCACTTAGGGAGTTTTAGTTTGTGTCGGACTGTTACTGCTTGTTTTTGTTGTGCTTGTTGTTTGATGTACACGCCTATGAACAGGCCATAAAGCACAAAAGAAGTCAGTTTAGTGTAGTGGTTAACGTGGCGGGCTACCAATCTTTTGGAGATTGAAAGTTTGAGTCCGATTCCAAAACAACTTTTCTACATTTCGCTTTTTTTTGCCGTGGTGCTGGTATTTAGCCAACCTACGATCCGCGTGCACTGAGATCCGCCAAAAACAATTAAAACGCCCAATTATGGCTCAAGTTCTGCCATTTTTTGTCAAGTGTACTGTTACTCTGTTCGGTAGAGTCACGCTACTCTGCTTCGGGCAGCATTGTGTTACTCTGTTGAGGGGAAGTGCTTTGACACGTTCTGGAGGAACCACTGTACTCTGTCTAAACAAGAGGTGATTTAGTCTTGAAAAAAAGAGTCAAACATGAGACAAGAAAGTACTCGCTCAAAGAGAGTGCCCAGTACTGTCTTCGTTTTTAGAGTGTAATCAATGGCACATTAAGGCTGTAGATTGATTGCCTGGTGAATGTAACCCCATTGATAGATGGAGGCACTCCTATATGATAAAAAAATGGAGAGATGTAAAATGACACTAGCGGGAACGAAAACATCTTTCAGATCTTTCGTCCTGGAGGGTACATCAGACGCTACGGTTAGAATATGGTTACCACAATGACCTTTATCGGAATACTCACTCAGACATATTCTCAAGATTGTGATTGTCAGCGGTAATACTTTGAAGTACAACATGCATGGTTTCGGCACAATGTTTCAAGCGCAAGAAAGAATGTGATTCAGATATAGTTACAGAGGAGGCCTCCCACAATAAGTGTGAAATGCGTGTTTGATTTCTAGCGAGAAGTACAGCGGAAGTGCATTTCATGTGGTTGCCGCTTATAATCCCAGACACAGTTCCTCCGCTGATTTAGGTGAGGATTTACGCGTGCTTAGTGCGCTAGGATGTAGCATCACGAGATAAAACAGCGTATACTAGAGGTCACGTTATAAGATAACTATAAAACGTACACTTTCACAAGTGCGAAATTAAGACATGAAGGAGATGTGTGTTTGCGTCCACACCGAGCAATACCTAAAACCTCTTCCTAATCCTGGTATGCATCGTCTCATGTTAGCGGACAACAAAAAAGTTTTTTCTCGCTTTGGGGAACAGCTGTGAGTTCTCTCATCTTGACGCCCCCGTACGTTCTCAAAGAAGAAAATACTTCGCCTTTGTCCTTATACAATGCTGCTGGTGGACATGTGGCTGGGTTTGTGTAAAGGCGCCATTCCCCCCCCCCCTCCCAAATGGTGATGTTGCGCTCTTTCCAAGCTTTAAAATCCTCGTTTTCTGGGTTGATTTAACTCGGATAGGTCGTATTCAGAAGAGAAATCGACATGCAATCATAGTCATGCAACGGTTTCCAGCTTGCGTCGGAGAACATCAAGTAAGTGTAAGGCTTCTGTTTGCAAAGTTCCTCGATATGCGCGTTCCGTTTTTCAAGAATCTCACAAAAGCTAAAGTTTGGTCAATAGTTGTAAAACATGCTTTCACTTTTCATATTAAAGCCGCACAAAGAAAGCCGCTTCATCCATCATTTTTCTTACTTTTTTATTTACCCACAGCTAACATGACTCTGCTTGTGCTACTGTGCACTGCTGTCGCATATGGAGCAAGCACTCGCAATGCAGGCAACTTTAATGTCACGGTAAGTGTATTTTACACCAGTCTTCATAAAAAATTAATTTTATGCGTTAGCCTCGCCGTAATACATTACAGCCTCACATATCTACATGATGTAGTTTGTCAATGCTGGTATTGCCACGATAACTTATGCCGTGAGATGATACCACCTTTCTGTTTCTGCTTTCCGGGATAGTTGAAACCATTTCTGTAAGAGTCACCAAAATCATTCATTAGACGAACACAGCAACTCAGTGCTGGCAAACAAGGGTCATGTGCAGCTTACCAGTCATGCTTTTGACAATATGCGCGCTACTCCACCACGTCGTATTTGTAGGCACCAACGCAATACATTCCGTTGCCTCGATGCAGGGGCATCGGCCTAAAATTTTCTTTTGGGGGATGCTCCTCTTTGACCTGAAGCCAGGGCCAGGAAGCCAGGTGTGAGGAAGGAAGGAAGGAAGGAAGGAAGGAAGGAAGGAAGGAAGGAAGGAAGGAAGGAAGGAAGGAAGGAAGGAAGGAAGGAAGGAAGGAAGGAAGACAGACAGACAGACAGACAGACAGCAGACAGCAGACAGCAGACAGACAGACAGACAGACAGACAGACAACTTTATTTTGGTCCTGCGGAGCGCGACCCGGCTCAGCTTGCGGGTCCGCTGGACAACCTTGAACTGATCAGTGAGAGCCGGGCTGCGTAGAAGCATCTCCCGCTCCTCCAGTGTGAAGCCGCAGTCCATGTTTTGGCACGTGCTGAGGATATGCTGTAATGTGGCTGTTTCACCACATGACGAGCACCGGTCGTTCGGGAGGACGCCCGGGTATATGTCATGAATGTACGCAGGACTTGGATAGGATTTGAGCCAGCTGAAGAGAAACTGCTTGGGGTCTATTGAGTTTAGGGTGCGGAGAATTTAGTTACTTCGTTATAGAAGTACGGTGCGTCCATGTGGCCGGGGTAAGGAAGGGTATCAGAAGCGGTGCTGTCTGTCAATCCTCGCGCGGCTTTGTTCGCAACCTCGTTTGGGTCCCTATACCTCCGTGTACCTCCCCATTGTGCGCGGGGAACCAATGTGAAGAGTGAGAGGAAACGTGATCGGTGACTTGTAGTACACGCAGAGCTAACTGGGAGATCCTACTCCTCTGGGAGACACTCATCGCTGCTTTTAAATCACTATACACCACATCTCTGCGGTCATCGAGCGTGGCGAACGCAATGGCTACCTGCGGAGCTTCTTCGGAGTTGGGTGTCTCCACTGCTGCACAGTTGACGACGTGGCACTGTGCATTGACTACTACGGCCGAGAAGGCGTCTTGTTGTCTGTATTCCGCTGCATCGACGAAGCTGGCATCGGTACCACCTGGGAACAAGCTTCTCAGGATGTAATTTTTTTTGCCCGCGATGACTTGCCCGCGAGGAGCACGCAAGTGCGCATTTGTTCACACGACAGACAACCTTAGAAACAGTTCATTTTTTATCGGCAATTATTTATTGAAATGGCTGCTTAACGCACCAAAACAGAAGTTAAAAAGCAGTCAGACAGACGGGGTTGTAAAACATCTCATTTGTCACGAAGTAGCTACCAACGTCTAACCTGTATACCAGGCATCCGCAGCCTTTTCAGTCGGAGGGCCCCTTTCTATGAAGCCGACACAGCGGTGGTCGGAAGGCAAACCGTTGGGTGTGATGATGCAGGGGCTACAACAAGCATAGGGTCTGTGGAAAGAGCTGGGAAATGAGTTACATTATTCCAATACTGTGCCAGCCCTTTTGACTGATCACTGTACTGGAATCGAAGCTTCTTGTGGTCCTTTTCTTTCTGGTGCTGCTGCTGTAATGCTCCATTGTGGCTTGCCTCAAGGTCCTTGCTTGCTTCCTTGATGGCTGCACGTAGCAGGCACCCCAACAGCTGGAACACAGAAGAGCACATTTACAGTTGAACCCCACCATAACGGAAGCCCCAAAGAATGAAGTTCTCATAGCAATGAAGAAATATAACGTCCATGATGAACATTCATTGAGTACAAGGTGTTTGCTCTCTCTCAACAGCGAAGAGATTTTAAAAGCACTCCCAAAATACATGTTAGTAATATGCGACTGTTTTAGACCCTTAAACTAGGTGAGAAAGTAGATGTAAAAAAATTGCAGCGGCGCTCATTTCACAAGTCGGGCACTTGGGTATTTGCCAAAAGGCATTGGTGCAACCATTGCTGTTTACATTGTTGGACAATGATGATAGCAAAATGACTTCTTTTTCTTCAAAAGAAGACTTTTTGCTAATGCTTCTGTTGGTACAAGGTGTTTGCTCTCTCTCAACAGCGAAGAGATTTTAAAAGCACTCCCAAAATACATGTTAGTAATATGCGACTGTTTTAGACCCTTAAACTAGGTGAGAAAGTAGATGTAAAAAAATTGCAGCGGCGCTCATTTCACAAGTCGGGCACTTGGGTATTTGCCAAAAGGCGTTGGTGCAACCATTGCTGTTTAGGTTGTTGGACAATGATGATAGCAAAATGACTTCTTTTTCTTCAAAAGAAGACTTTTTGCTAATGCTTCTGTTGGTAACTATATCAGCACATGACATATACTGTGCCATAATTTCGATAGATGTTCTGTAGACTGCCTAACTTCTTGCTGATGTGCTTCTGTCCAAACGCATGCCAAGACCTCACAGAAATTGCTTACGTACAGTGTTGTTTGGCATTTCAGCTTCAATGGAGCGACACCAGGTGCTGTTGGTCTACATGACTTTGTGTGAGCTGATGCCGACCTGATCGAATGCGAGGAGTTCTGCAATTTTCAGGTAACTCAGAAGGCAGCCACGTGACCCAAAATTTTTTCTCTGAGAAAAATTTTACCACTTCACTATTTTAAACACAGTGCTCCAGCAAGATTTTTTTCCAATACATTTAAGACGGTTGCCAAAACGGCTGGGACGTTCGATGTATAATGATCGAATTACATAAATGACTTGCAGAATTTTTACTTTATATATCAGACATTGCTGCCCTGTTTTGGAAACAAGTAAGGCATATCAGACATCTCATTTTCAGTATTTCAATTAAGAGAATAAAATGGGCTAACATGGGTTTGATGAAATATGATCTGTGTTCATAACAATAACAGTAACAGTAGTATTGATCTTTCCTTTGATGCACAATAGGGAATTCACATTTACACCAGATGCTTTACGACAACAGCACAATCTTCGTGTTCGAGAAGCTCAAAATTCACAATAATATGTTATTGTTGTCCTTAATTTTTCACAAATTACAGACTCCAGCAACCACCGACGGTGACGTGGACGGCCGCCTTAAGTTGCCCGGAAAAGCAACGCGCTTCATTGGTGCCTCAGTCGAGCTCTTGGATCGTGTCTTGCCAGGCAATCTGGCTGATGCCATCAATGTAAGAAGCAAACTGTCTTTGTGTCCAAAATTTATATTCTTGTGCATTGCTGTTAAACTTCCTCGCGAACCCCTGAATGTTTTCTATTTTATTTATTTATTTATTTATCATATACTGCGAACCATTTAAGGTCCAAGCAGGAAAGGTACAGCAAGTTCAAAGGTAAAATAAAAGTACAACAAAGTTACAACAAAAATGATACTGGTATACACAAAATGTAAGAAAAACATAGCAATCACCATCAAATTATACTCGTTTCCAGAGGGCTGAGTACACCCACTGCGACACAATCCATAAGCAATGCACCACACTCTTAGGCACACAACAAATTGTTAAATCAAACAAGTATTGTGAAAGCCAGGAAACACAAGGCGCATTTCATGGTGAAAAGGAAAGAAGAGTAGAGTTTCGGGGCAACAAATTCCACTCAGAGATTGATTTCGGGAAAAAAGAGTGTTTGTATAAATTAGTTCTTGCGAAAATTGGCTTGATGCTACAGCTGCGTTTGTGACGGGAAGGCCTGGAACAATCCTTTACCATGTAGTTTTCTGGCTTTATTTCGAGTTTAGAAAAATATATTAGACGGAGTAAGTTAAGTCGAGCAGCTCGTCGTCTGTCCTCAAGAGGTTCAAGATTTGCCAACTGCAACATCGCAGAGGGGGAATCGCGGCGTCTATACCTACTGTAAATAAAACGGGCTGCCAGGCGCTGAATTTTTTCTATCTTTTGTATATTGTTTTTTGTGTGAGGGTCCCATACTACGGAGGCGTACTCCAAGGAAGGCCTTACCATTGTTTTGTAAGCTTTAAGCTTTAAGGAACTGGGGGCATTAGCTAATCGGTGCTTTAGAAACCCTAGTTTTTTACGTGCGGAAGAGCATGTATTTACTATATGGGTTGTCCAGTTGAGGCTTGAGGTAATTGTAACACCCAAATATTTATATTCTTCGGCTTGTGTAATCTGTGACCCTTTTATATTATATTTAAAGTGAAACTTGTTGATTTTGTTGGTGATACACAAGTGAGCAGTTTTTTCAAGATTAATTACCATGTTCCACTCGGAACACCAAGTTTCCAAGTTACCGATGTTTCTGTTTAAAACTTGTTGATCTGCCGTTGAGTTTATGACTTTCAAAAGAATGCAGTCGTCTGCGAACAGTTTAACTGATACGCTGGTATCTATTGCTTGAGCCAAATCATTAATATAAATGTTAAATAAAACAGGACCGAGTACGGACCCCTGCGGTACTCCTGAAAAAACGTCTAAGAAACGCGAGCGCGAACCCTCAATCTCTACTTATTGTTTACGGTTTAGTAGGTAAGATGTGACCCAATTTGTTATATCTGAAGGAACGCCAATTGACTTCAGTTTAATTATTAATTTTTTATGGGGAACTTTGTCAAACGCCTTCGAGAGGTCAAAAAAGATCACGTCAACCTGGCTACCAGCATCTAGAGCCTTCGCAAATTCATTAACTGTAGTTAATAGCTGCGTAGTAGTAGAAAGACCTCGTCGGAAACCGTGTTGGTGCTCAGTGAGAATATTTTGGGATTGAAGAAAGTTATTGAGGTATTTTGCGATAATATGTTCCAGCAGTTTACAACAATGACAGGTGAGAGAGATGGGCCGATAGTTACAAAAATTGAGACGGTTACCCTTCTTATACACAGGAGTCACACGTGCAATACGCCAATCATCAGGTATCGCACCAGACGAAACGGATTTCTGCAAAATGACTACAAGGAACCTGGCTAACAGTGTAGCATAGCGTCTGAGAAATGCGGAAGGGATATCGTCAGGGCCTGTCGATTTTTTCGGATCCAATCGCAAAAGCAATTCTGTGACACCTTCCAAAGAAATCTGAATGACACCACAATCACCATTTTCACAAACAGCCCCGTTTAAAGTATCTGACGTTGAAAACACACTTTGGAAATACTCGTTAAACACCTCCGCCACTTCTCTTGGATCAGTAAGTACCCGATCACCCTTGGCGATTTGATCAAGCCTCGTGCTACCCTTATTCGATAAAAATTGCCAAAATTTAGAGGGACTTTCGGATACAAAACGATTGAGTGTCACATTAAAGTAGTGATCCCTAGAAGCAGCTAATTTGGACTTTAATGTAGCCTGTAAATCAGAAATGTCTGCTTGAGCAGCATTGGAACGTTTCCGCAAGCGTTTTAATTTGCGCTTCACATGAATTATTTCTCTATTTATCCACGGATTCGTCCTGCCAACGTTTTTCACTTTATCTGGAATAAAATGCTGGATACAGAAATGACAGTGCGCTTTGAACTTTGTCCATAATGTATTGATGTCATCACTATCATCAAACAAAACAATGGCTTCCTCGAGATAATTAGTTATATTTACATCATCTGCAGATGTGTACTGCTTTATAGTAATAGGTTTGTATTGGGGTGGGTTGGATTGACGTGGGAGCAATGACGTAAAGTATACCAATTTATGATCTGAAATTCCCTCACAAATATCGGTGGTAATGTCAGTTATAGTTGAGGAGCACAAGACGAGATCTAGAATCGAAGACGTACAGCTTGTCACCCGAGTGGGAAGTAAAACGGTTTGGGTCAGATTAAACGCCAAGAGCATGTCCAGAAAAATTTCAGAATTCGGTATGTCTGTTGGGCCGCACTTTAGCGTTTCCCAATTAATACAAGGCAGATTGAAATCCCCAACAACTAAAAGAATTTGGTTGCGATACTGATTTAGCTTGTCGTAAAGTTTTAACAAGAAATCTGGCTCAGCATTGGGCGGTCTGTACAGACCTACGACGATGATTTAGTTTCCTAAAAATTCACATCTGCAAAGCACACTTTCGTGGTCGACATCAATCTCGGGCAATTGATATGACGGCACACCACTTTTGACAAGAACTGCAGCGCCACCGCCCCTTGTTTTGCGATCCTTACGATAGCACGTATATGAAGGCGGAAACACGCAACTATCTCGATCGTCAGGGTGCAACCAGGTTTCTGAAATTACGGCTATGTGAGGATCATAGGATAGCAGAACATGTTCAAACTGTTCTTGTTTGTTCTGCAGGCTCTGTGCATTGAGGTTTATCAAACGAAGCCGCTTGTGCGCTAAGGTTTGCTCGTCATTGTGATGTCAATCTTCTGAGCACGCAGCGCTGCGCAACAGTTTCCTACGGTTTTGATGCTCGTCCCATACGTAGACGTCATCATTGATGTAAAGCTTATCATAAACTAAGTACGCCTTATCACCCTGACTTCTGTTGTCCTTTACTGTTTTCCAGAGCTTTTTTCGTAGCTTAAGTGTTGCTTGCGAGTAGTCGTGAGATATTGATACACCCGAATCTTTTAGTATGCTACATTTCTTGAAAAGCAAAAGTTTTTCGTTGTAATTGTACAACCGTACAATGACCAGCCTTGGGCGTTGTTCATTCACCCGTCCAATTCTATGAATGCGCTCCACGGAAGTAACTGTGACCTTTAGGGTGTCTTGGAAAACCTTAAAAACAACTTTGTCTTCCAAAATTTCTCTGTTTTCGTCTGGTCCTTCCGGTATGCCAAATACGACCAAATTATTCCTTCTTGAACGATCTTCGTAATCGACAAGCTTTTTGTCTTGTCCTGTCAGAGCCTTTTCTACGCGCTCCATTCTTCCCTCCAGTTTCTTTATTTTTTCTTCGTTCGCCTTTGATACCTTTAATACTTCGTCTAGTTTGGAAAGTTTTTTGATAATGTCTGAAAGTATGGTGTCGCGTTTCTTTTGTTCCTCTTTAGATTGTTTTAGTTCAGCTAGTATACTATTTATAAGTTCCTCAAGATCTGGACCAGGGTTGCTCTCCACATCACCACACAGCAAAATCGTTAAGACAGACCAGCAATCGTCAACAATTTGGGCACATTGCCGAGGGCACGGCAGAATCAAAAGCGCGTAACAACTAGTACGGACAGATGAATTAGGGGTGTGAAAACTGACCTGCACGACAATTCATGCAAGCTTAGTCATGTTGTTCTGAAGAACGTTTCCGTGCCCTATGAGGCGGAAGGCGAAATTTTGGTGCTTTATACTCGGCTCCACTGACGTCACCGATGACTGAAGCCAACGGCGTGGTTCACTGGAGACGAGGGTGCGTAGCTGCGATGTCGACGGTGGTTTCCACGTGCCTGGAGCGCGATCCAGCGGCGCATGCCCAGAGTGGGATGGCCGTCCAGTATCAGGCAGCGGACCAGGCTTGACAAGAAGAAACACCTGCACGACAATCCATGCAAGCTTAGAACATGTTGTTCGTGAAGAACCGTTGCCGTGCCCTCTGATGCGAAGGCGAAATCTTGGTGTTTCTTTATACTCGGCCCACTGACGTCACCGATGACTAAGCCAACGGCGTGGTTAATGTGACAGGGTGCGTAGCTCGATGTGGACTATTGTTTCCACGTGCTGGAGCGGCGATCCAGCGGCGCTCCCAGAGTGGGATGGCCGTCCGTATCAGGCAGCGCCCACTGCTTGACAAGAGAAACCCTTCACGACAATCCAATGCAAGCTTAGACTGTGGTTCTGAGAACGTTGCCTGCCCTCTTTATCCTGACCAGGTATGCCATGCTGTGATGTAGCTCTTTTTTGTGTGATTTTGATTCCCATTAGCTCGCATGTGCCGTCCACGAAACCGTAGCCGTTCTTGTGGCACAGCGCCTGCAAAATGGCATTCGTCTCCCCGGCATCCATGTTGAACGCCTCCAATTCTCCGACAGACAGCGCCCACTGGCACTTGCGCAAACTCGCTTGTCTCGGCAGAATTGCAGACACTACAACACGGATTGACGGATTGACATCAAGAATTCTGGAGATCAGTGATCGGAACCTGGCAATCAGCACGAGGGGTTCTTCACCGACATTGTTAGTGCCAATGTGAAGAACGACCACGTGCACATCTGCCAGAGAATGAGCAATTAAAGAGAACAATTTCTCGATCCGCACACCGCTGAATGAGCGAACCTCGACATGTGTCCTGG